CACACACACACACACACACACACACACACACACCCTTCTTCTGTCTCCCTCCTTTTGCCTCGATACATTTTCCTCTTTCATCACACGTTCACACAATTAACTTCCTGTTAGCCTTTCGTAGAGATAAAATTGATATCTTTGATAGACTAGCATCAATTTCTTTATAATTAGCCCCTTGGCCTTGCACCCACTTAGTCACTTCTGTCTCGCCTGTAGCCACACGTAATCCTAAGACCCCCTTCGTTAGGCCCATTTCCCTGCTAGTATGCAGCGCGTATTGAGTTTTTCCCTCAGTTGCTCCTGAGGAAGCCCACGAGGCGAAACGTTGAGCTATAAAACAAATTTAAACATTTTATAATGTTATTGTCTAAAACTCAAACAAGACTCCCCCTCCTACTCTGCTTATCAAACAATGATGATGATGATGATAATGATGATAATGATGATAATGATGATGATGATGATGATGATGATGATGATGATGATGATGATGATGATGATGATGATGATGATGAAGCAAAAAAGGGTTGGATACCAAGAAAAGGAAACCGAAAACCCTACTCTATTTTATCACCTTTCTGGAGTCCTGAGGTGGCGGTGACGGCGGGGGTGTGGCAGGCAGTAGTATTGACTGGTTGTCACCGTCCGCGCTGACTGGCGACTGCACTCGCACCGCCGGGGGAGGGGGTTGAGGTTCGTGTCCTGGCTCTGGTGTCCGTGCCACTTTCGTTCGAGTCTGGAATGTTTGAGAGACTGTTAATGTTAGACGCCCCTAACGTCATAACCAGTAAGGGCGTGGGCCGATTCGAAACGGTCCCAGCGGACTAACAGTAGAATAACTTTTTCATTCGTGACCCGAACTCACATCTTTTGTTCAAAACATCAAATTGACATTTCACTAAAACTTTGGTAACCTAAAAGTTGACTCTTCCATTAAACATGAGTACAAAAATAAAAACAACTAAAAATGATGTTTCAAAAGCATTTAAAATCGCATCTCTTTTAGTGAGGCATAATTTTAGTATTCTTACCGTCTTGATCAATGTAATGTCAGTAAAATGGTATGTACATATAAACACGGCATACGGTAAGTGTGTTATTTCACCTTTCAAAGATCTTCGTACTAGAAGTATTCTAAAATGTGAAGAATACAACCCACGGAGGTATACAATGCCCCCAGGGCGTACATGATAGGGTTAAAACAGTTCTAGTAACATCACTATGCCCGTGACTCCATCGCAGGGACAACATTTCCTTTGTGACTGACAGAGCCTATACGACTATGGCATAGAGTTCTGGTTACTCACGGAATACCACCTTAGGGTTATATATTCAGTGGCTTCTCCCACATTGCGACCGGGAAATCAACATGACCTAAAGGGCATTCTAGGTTGTACACGTGTGTGCTGCTCAGTCTTTTTTACAACGCTTACTTTAATTAGATAACTTTGAACCGCACCAAGGTCCCCCCCCCTTCCCAGAGCAGTGCTACTGACTGAAGTGTCGTAAGGCCATTCCCAAAGAGGGGATATTACAATGTTCTTATACACATTAGAATTGTAAATGGGATGATTTATCAATGTCATGCTCATACTGTGCCGGAACAACATAGGGGGAACTGCTGCTTTGTCTTTCCTCATCCTTACTATCTTCACTTTTCCTCTACTTCTTTTGTATGTTTGTCACACTCTGGTGAACTGCTATTTCCGGGGGCCTTGATAGTCAAAGCAGACTTTGTGCCGCTGAGGCTAGAGAGGTGAGCAGAGTAAGGCAGATTCCCCGTATGGACTTCTCTGTTGACATCCCCTCTTGGGGCTCCTATGACCTTATTATGTAGTTGCGAGTGCCGTAAAACCTTACTAAAACTAAGCATCAAGGCCTGACATTTGAAGTGTGCAAATAAAGACCTTACCCTGAAACAGCTGATTGTTCGGTACCCCCCGCCCCCCTTCCAATACCTCGAAAGAGACACATGCACCATCCTGTGTTAAGGAAATATATCTTGTATTATCATTATTATCTAACTATCATACCTGTAAAATTTAAGTGTTGATTGCAAGAAATACGAATGACTGTGTTTCTAATCGCATATAAAAAAGTCAGTAATGTGTTGGAAGTCAAAACTTGAACAATTTTTTCACAGGAAATGAAACGAAGAGAGAGAGAGAGAGAGGGAGAGAGAGAGAGAGAGAGAGAGAGAGAGACAGACAGAGAGAGAAAGAGAGAGAGAGAGGGGAAGAGGCAAGGTAGTAATTTCAAGTATGGTTTTGATTATAATGATACTAAATTTCACAATATCATGTTTCTTTAAGAGAGAAACACACGTCATAGTACTATTCAAGGCATTTAATAATAATAATAAAAAATGATAAATAGCATTTGTATAGCACATATTCCCGCTCAACAGCAAGCTCTATGCGCTTTACAATTTATATCATTACCCCAGCAGACCTGATAGCATTCTGATACAATCTCAACTTCCTGGGAAGCCTACAGTGCAAGCTTCCATTTTATAGGCTCTAAAACACTACCATACTGACAAAATATTTCGCTGTCTATAGCCGGGTACCCATTCCCAGCTGGGTGAAGTGAGGAGGAACACAACGACGGGTCCGAGGCTCGAACCTCTAACCCTCAACCTCACGATTACGAGTCCGGTAGCCTAACAACTGGACTACCGACACCCCATTTTATCTAACACAAAACATTTTATTATTATTATCTACCAAACTTTGTCTAGCTACAGATAAATTCAACGTCTTACCATGAACGGATTGTCCATTTGTTCTAAAACTGGCATTTCCTCCTCCTCTAGCTCCCTTAATGCGTTAAGCCTCCTCATTGCCTCCTCCCTCTTCTTCCTGTTCTCTGCCTCTGCGTCGTACTCCTTTAGGGCAAAGGTACACCTCATCCGACCACAGTGCATCTCTGCCTTCCCTGGTCGGGAGCTTGTGCGGAGCAGGGACACCACTGTCGTGTGTCTGGAGTGTGGGTGAGGGGTGAGGGTGGGGAGTGTGTGGGGTGGGAGTGAAGAGGGGCGAGGGTGGGGAGTGTGGGATGGGAGTGAAGGTCGTGAGGGTGGGGAGTGAGGGATGGGAGTGGAAAAGGGTCGGGGTGAGGTTGAGGAGTGTGTAGGGTGGGAGTGGAAAGGTAGGGGTGGGGAGTAGAAGGTGGGGGTGAGGGTGGGGAGTGTGGGGTGGGGGTGGACAGGGGGAATGGAGAGTGGGGAGTGTGGGTTGGGGGGGGGTGGGAATGACGAAAGGGGTGGTGATGGTGAGGATAGTGGCATGGAAGTGGAAAGGGGAGTGAGGATGAGAGTGGGGAGCGCGGGTTGGGGGTGGATGTGGGCAGGGTGGGGAGGTGCAGTGGTGAAAAAAAAGGGAAAACAATTGTATTAACAAGGATATTATACAACAATGAATGAATGCTAATGGCACTTTACTACTACTACTACTACTACTACTACTACTACTACTACTACTACTACTACTACTACTACTACTACTACTACTACTACTACTACTACTACTGCTACTACACTGCAGTCAAATATCCGTGGCGCAACTTATGCTTATAAGGGGACTATGTTACGAGGAATTTTCTAGGGGTTTGACTTCTTTCAATTTTGAAAGGTGACATAGGCTAATTTTAGAATAATTAGAAGAATTATGACGGAATGTATCGAGTTTTATGAAAAGGCTATTGTTAGGGGACCGTACGTCCTACTTGCGCTAAGGCTTGGTGTATACAAATATATATATACTAGGATCGTACG